AACTAATTAATAAATTAATTATATAATTTATTTCTCTTTTCTTTTTTTTTTTTTTTTTGTTCCTAAAATTTTATCACAACCAGAAAAGACTAACAACAACATTTTCCGTTTTTCATTTTTTTTTTTTTTTTATTGATGATATTTTGTAGCTTTTACACGAATAAGGCGGTGTCAAAAAATCAAATGTTAACAATTAATGGTAATAATAATGATAACGATGTTGATTAAGAATAATAATGAGTGATAATAATAATAATGATGATAATAATAATGATGATGATGATGATAAGAGAAAATGGATGATATTTGGTTTACTGTATGATACTGTTCGATGTTTTATCTTTGTTTAAATAATTATTGCTATTTTTCATACAAAGTCTGTACTTTTTGACAATTTTTCTTTTTTTTTCAAACTTTATGATTGGTAATTATTTGCTAAATTCGTTCATTTTTCTTTCTAAAAGAAAGATAAAAAAGGGAAATAAAAAGATTTTCGAATAATTTTTACCAATGAAAAAAAATTTCCAAAAATGTTTTCACTTACGCAAAAAAAAAACAACAAAGACATACAGGCATACACACATACACACATACATACATACACACACATACACATATACACACATACACGCATACGCACACATATACACACAACATATACGCATATGCACACATATACACATATATATACACACATACACACATACATACACAGATGCACTACACACATACACATACACGTATATGCACACATATACACACGTACATACACACATACACACATACACACGCATACACACAGACATACACACGTACACACATACATACATACACATACGTACATACTACACACACATACACGCATACGCACACATATACACACAGACATACAGACATACAGACATACACACATACACACACATACACACACATATACATACATACACACATACATATGCGCATACACACATATACACACATGTATACATACACAGATATACACATACATACACATGCACATACACATACACATACATACACCCACATACATATATATATAAATATATGTACGGATATTTATAAATAACTGAAAAAGTAAATAAATTTTTGAAACAATAATGAAAATTTATAAACTTATAGATTTCAATGGGAGAAAAAAAACTTTTTAATAAAAATTAATTTGCTTAATACATTTGTATTTAAGCATTTTAAACAAAGAAGATAAGGATAAAATGGATGAAAGATACATTATGAGTTATTAAAAAAGTAATCAGATATTTCATAATATCTTATCAATTCACCTTAGACATTCATTTTATATTTTAACAGTGATATGATATATGATAAAGGAACATTGAAAGATACATTATGAGTT